AAGCATTAATAATTCTAACAGACTTTCGTCTTACAGTCATTTTAAACACGAATTTCAGTGCGAAATGTATTTCAGCGTTATAAACAATGATAGCCATAGGATTATTTTAACCAAATTTAGACTATCAGCTCATAATCTCGAAATAGAAAAAGGAAGGCACGATAATATTCAAAGAGAAAACAGAAAATGTCGAAATTGTCCATTAAATTTGGTAGAGACAGAATATCATTTCTTATTAATATGCCCGAAATATTACAATTTACGTAGAAAGTTTTTTAAACCATATTTTTGTAGATGTCCTTCAATGCAGAAATTCGAAACACTAATGACAAGCACAAATTTCAAAACAATTAATAATCTGGCAAGTTATCTGTACTACGCATTTAAAGAAATGACATAACCTTTTAATATCCGATAACACACTTTTTCCTTATAATTACTGGTAAATGGGAGATAACTACGACAAGAAATGATTAGTACATATACAACGGTTATGTCATCTTAGAAATATTATAATTGCCGTTTGATGATATAATATAACGTTAACAAATATCTTTCTACTTAGTTTCTTACATAATTATTTAAGTGTGTTTATGCCAACTCTCTGTTTATACTTGTCACCAATAATTCTCGGCACGTGAACAAATCTCGTTCTACTGTGTACAAGTATTAGTATTCTTTTATGCAATTATGTCGTAACCTTTGTTTATATTTGTCAACAATACTTCTCGGCAACGTTAACAAATATTGTTTCTTCTTTGTTTAAGTACATTAGTTTCTTACATGTATGAGTATTTCTTATGCAAACTCTGTTACAAATATCATATCATTTGTTCATACTCGTTAACAATACTTCTCGGCTAATTGTTACTTGTAACACTTTACACCATACAGAATCTGATTTGACCATAAATTGTATGTTTACAATTTTATGTTAAATAAAATTTATGTAATGTTATGCTATGTTATGTATACTGGGACCTAGTTCTTCTGTCTAATATGCGGATTTGTTCTTAATAGTTATTTAAAACGATGTTTAAACAACAATAACACGTACAGTTTTTCAAAATATTATTATTTCGTTATCGACGCGTTTCGGTGAACAAAACTTTCATCCGAATAAATGGATAATTATAATAAAAAAAATCTTTCCTTTTATACTAGTTATTTAGCAGTTATAGGTAAGTGAATTAATTATTATCCTCAGCCTTAAAGTTTGTGAAAAAATTAAGCTTAGATGGAGAACGAAATACTTCAACTGGAAAGCTTTAATTGTTGCTTAGGATTTTATGGGGGAAAACAAAATTAAATATTTTAACAGAAAGTTTATTTCTTTTTATTTCCCCCTTTAAAACTATTTCATAGTGAGAAGGTATGGCTGGCTATGATCAATAAAAAGAGTCATCATCGATTAATTAAGTATTTACAAAAAGAGCAACAATCATTTTTTTTCCGGGTTGAATGCTTAAATAGGAATCAGCTTTCATCATCGCTTTTGATATTTTGTATTAATAATGTTATTCTTAACTCTAATCTTTTCATACAATGTTGATGTCAAAGATTATATTTAGTGATTAGTGCGTGCTGTCTTTGGACCATCAGTTGTTATATTTTGAACAAGATTTGAGTGATAAAAGTTTTAGCATACATGTTTCTTAAAGTTATGATAATATGCTTCTAATTACAATTTTGAATTTGTTCTTTTTTCGTTTCATAAAAACCGATTTGTATTATTGAACATTGATAGCATACCATTCAATTCATTTTAACAATAGATAAAAGGTGTGAATTTTGAGTATTGTAAACACTAAAATGCAATAAAAAAATTAATTAAAGAAAACCACCTTACTCATCCCATCCACCTAAAGCATGAGTTAGCTGTGTTCACATGCAACAATTTGTGTTAGATGTGTAGTCTACAAAAGGTAATGCTCGTTCAAATTTACATACTGAATTTACTGAAGGTATATAGTAAAGGAAAATAACATGAATTGTATTTTCTGTTGGATTGTATCGCCCTCTTGATTGCATTAAGATAACTTTATATAATCAGCTCAAGCGAAAGAACGCACAAGAATAACAAATTCACGCAATATTCCTTATGTATTTCATGTTTATAATTGGAAGTATATTTACGATGATAAAGCCTTAATAAAGCGGCAAACGCTAATTTGTAAATTGAAGTGGGTTTTTAAGGTGAATCTGCTATATTTAATTGTAATTTTTCAGTAAGTTTAATATGGTATACTCTCTACTGTGTGTATCCAGTAAGGTCAGCTGCATTTTACCAATAAGCTCAATAGCGTGTATCCATTTAGCTAAATTCAGCTCACGTTGTATTCAATGAGTATAATCCATACATGCGCAGTGGAGTTATTGCGCATGTATCAGTTCAGTTCAATGGGTTGTCCTTTAGATGAAAATGTGTTCAATGAGGTTAATCTAAAATAACTGCATTTTGTCAATTACCTCAATGAGTGTATTTAATTAGCTCAATAAGATGTATCATTTTCGTTGTTGTGTTCAATAGAGTGTATCATTTTAGCTCAATGGGGTTTATTCATTTAGGTCAAATTGTGTTCAACGAGGTTACTCGTACAATTGCATTTTACCAGTAAATATTTTACCATGAATTGCATTTTACCAATAATTTCAATTTGATGTATCTATTCTGTTTGATAAGTGAAATGAGATGCAATATTATCACTACATTGCAATTTATATTAACTCATTTATAACATGAGCGTGTCGTTAAAATACGTTATTCTGTTCTGAAGATTGTCTCAAAGAAATATAAGTAGTAGATATCAATCTGAATTCTCCTATTTATTAAAGACGAACTCGTCAAAATGCAAGTGTCGAAAATACAATATTTCGGACTAACTCATGAGATATTTTTTCTAAGATGCCAAGATATTTTAAGGTACATATATAGACGCTGAGATTCTCTGTGTGTGTTGACTGGTACTTAAATGTTTCCAATGGCCTCTTTTGGCGCTTTCACTTTAGTAGCTCTGAACTGAAACGTTTTGTTATACCAGTGAAACAGAAGTTGTTAGATGTTTTTTTAAACAGGGAGTGATTCAGTATGGTATTGATAAGTCGATAATGTGAATTAAAACCAAGTCAAAAAGTTTAAGCTATTTATTAAAAAAGGATACAAAAACAACAACAACAACAAAACAATACAATATACAAGATCAAAAACTACCATTTGTTTTTGTAAAACATAACTGCATCGCCTTTATGTCTTTGTGGCCAAAAAGAAAATAACTTTCATTTCTTCTTCGAGTGTACACAATTTGACACAGCTCGACAAAAGTTACTTCGCAATTTGAATAATGTTGACATTGATTTAATTGTTCCACTTTTAGACAACCATGACCTTTCTGACCAAACTCATGAGATAATTTTTCACACGTACACATTTACATCCAAGAGATAAAAAGGTTCATTTAACACCCAAACACTAAATCATTATATTTCTATACTTGAGACGCGTCATTATCAATCTTTCTTCTTCTTCACTAAATTCTTATCTTTCTGTGTTCCTTTCAAATACTATTCTATTTTGTTTGTTTATATTGATATACATGTTAATTCGAACCAATAATATATTCATTCTAAATGTTTTAAATGGAACATATACTATGTTTCTTGAAAATTTTAAATACATATCAGATTCTGTGTTTTCTTTTTTCCAATATAAACTTATGATTATTTTTTATTATTACATTCGTCTCAGATTATAAAATATGTAATGAATTGAGCGCCTATTATGTCAATTACTCACTTTCGTTCTTATTCTTTTTAAGAATATTTGAATTGATTTGTGTATATTGTAAATTGTAACATGTATATATATATATTTTGAGAAATAAAGTATGTTTAAACTAAACTAAGATCATTCACAATATGAATGGTGCATGTTGATATATATTCTTCTATAATTTCAGGATACATGTTGCTCATTTGTTTTCCCCGTCTCAGTGGAGAGTGGTGCCGGGGAACTATCCACCACTTCCACTCATAATATCATATATCTATCCCAGTAAAAGAACATACATAGTTATATTATACAATATAAGTGTTTTCAAAAATACAACAATCAAAAAAATCCATACATTACAATGTATAATGTTTAAAAAAAAATCATAACAATGTATACAATTTCAAAAAAAAATCAAGCGAACAGATTTTTGTAGTATTCTAAATGTTTTTTTTTCTTTTTGAATCAAAGATAATTTTGTTTCACAAAACTTACTTAATCCTTTATGTCAAAGCTAACTGCCACGTTTTGCAAATTATATTATTTTAAATGTACAATTCCACATTCTTGCATATCATACTGATGTTTATGTTAGCTTTACCCATGCCGGAAATTTCATGGGTGGTGCCAGATGAGTTGCGTGCTATACAATGGCATGCTTAGGATGACGTAATTTCGCCGTTATGATTGAATTTGTAATTTCATACGCTGTTGTAAGAAAATAGTTACGGTGTTATATGGAAAATAGTTTTAGTAAGGTAAATAATTTAAAATATTGTGTTATATGGTAGAATATGGAAGTAAAATATCTGACATATGTTTGCGGTTCGGATATTCCCTCCGAACAGCAACAAATGAAGATATTATTATTGTTATTCTGTCTACATTCAGTCATAAATGTAAAACTTGTCTAACTTGTTCACAGATTATAGTAGACTAGATCACACACTAACATCTATATTATAAGTTCTTCATAACTGCATCAAAATATACTAAAGCAATTCAACTGTAGGAGAGTTTGCTCATTGCATATGGTTGTCACCTAGAGTAAATTGGCCATACATGTTTAGGCTATCTTCAGCCTATTTGGTATAGTTATTGGCGACAACATTGCATGTATCATTGCTAGGAAGAATAAGTTATTTTACATGTTATTGTGAACAAGTTATTTAACTGTATGACTTCTTAAGTTTGTTTTTATTTCAAGTTCAAGTTCAACTATTTTCAACATTTAAGGTCTAACCAAGCGAATTATACACTTTTCATAGTCTAACCTTCAACACTTCTTATTGTACTACATAATTCACTAAAGTAAATAAAAAAATGTCAAATTCTATAAATGGAGAATAACATGTACAATGTGTACAGTTTGAAGAAGTAAGTAATGTTCATTTATATCTACATTGCGCGAAACATCAATTTAGTTGCTTTAAGTGAATTTAAACTATATGGTTGATAGAAAATGCCCAACCAATAACCGCCTGGATGTTTAAAACCTGGGGTTGCATATTCTCCATTCAAGTTGATACCGCCACACTGATTATACCACCACGCTCCATGTTGATTATGTGCACAATTTTCAGGAAGATATGGATCGCGATCGACATCTTTTGTTGTAAAGTTCATACCATTGTGAGCTATCATACCGTGTGATAAATGATCACCTAAAGAAAAAAGTAACAATATGACGATTTATATTAAACGTATAAAAATAAACAAAAATGAACAAAAACGTAACAAAGGGCAAGGGAAGTAGTGCAAGAGCAAACGAAAGCGGTAATGTCCCCAATCCCTACGTTTCAATGCCTGCAGCATTTATTTAATTTGCCGTTTTGGACTTTTTAGGGCTTCCTATTACCTCTTTTTGAAATGTTATACTATAACTATCCATATCACCGGAATACACAACATGAAGAGCAGTTTATTAATACGTGTTTCAAATAAATTGAGATGTACGCTAAAATGAAACATTTTTTATTCAACTTTATATTTTTTTCACATACATCGGAAAAATCAGTACAACATTACACCATTGATATTTCTAAAAGTAGTTTTTGGTGGAATATTGAATTAAATCCTATCAAAAGAATTTTTATAGAGTTTCTAATTTAATTTTCTTCAGTAACCGCTTTATGTGCATTAGAAATGTTATCTTTTTGAGAAGCTTCTTTCTTGAACATTATCAATGATATGCTTGTCACATTAAATTAAAAAAAAATGTCAAACAGATTAACCAATGTACGAAAAATAACAATGTCACGGATGACGCATATGTCTTTATCGAAAACTACTGAATAGCACACATCATTTTATTTGTATGCCTACCAAAGGGGATGCAATGGAAAGGTCGTTCTTACATGTGCTTGATCGACTTGGGATTTTATTCTCATAGTCGCTTAAGAGTTTTCCAATCGCTATTAAATTTGGAAATTAAATCAAATTTACGACTATGAATTAATGTAATTTATTTCCGTTAATAAGGATAACGGTAGCCATGTTTAAGAAGTATTACGTTCTTTAAAATAAATATATAGTTTATGCTTCAGTGGATCTTGATCTAAGTAACTATAACACATATTTTGCATTGAGTATATCTCCATCTAATTGTGGATAATGTACTGCACCAAAATCAAAGTCATCTCGCAACTTTAATATTTGATTGTTTGATTGGTTTTATGTCATACCGACTCATTATAATTCATATGGTGATGTTACAGCTTTACTGGTGGAGGAAAACCTCATGTACCTTGCATTATCTAGGAGTAGAACAATCACGTCCCGTAAGCTGGCTGGATAGCTTCCACTCATGAAAGATTCCAAAGTCCCTGCCGTGATTCGAACCCACAGCGATGAGGGGCAAGTGGTAAACTCATAGTAAACTCATAGTATATCGTGCCCACGACTTAATTTTCTCGTTCCCATGACTAAGTTTCTTGTGCGCACGACTTAATTATCTCGTGCCTACGACTAAGTATTCGTGGCCACGACTTAATTATCTCGTTCCCACGATTAAGTAACTCTTGGCCACGCCATAGTATTTCGTGCGCACGAGATAAATAAAAATAAATGTCTCCTCTGTGTCACCGTTATTCCTCTACCTTTAAGGAAGGTAAATCAACCGACATCAACATCAAACGCAAGGGGGAGGGGGGGCAAAACAGGTTATAACACAAAAATCTCGAAAGCAAATAATTGTCTAGCAAAAAGTCTTCCATTCGGCTTGCAAGATGCAATCAAAATAGGAAACTACGCGTAAAACTTTAAGAGGGTTGACACCCAATCATTTGGTATGCCTTAAATCTTTTTGGTTAAGACAGCACAAAAAATAACTAAGAAGTTTATAAATTACAGTTTCAAAGTCATCAGGCTTTCTTCAACCTTGTCGTAAAAGAGTATGTAAGAATACAATCATCTCTTGGACTTAATTCTAGAACCTTGTAAAGCATATACGTTATTTATAATAGCAATAGCCGTATTGAAGAAATTAAAACCATCTTCTACATGACTACATGCTCTAGCAAATTATATCAACTGAGAAATTTTAACTTTTTTACCCTCATTTGATGTTGCATGCGGTACATCTCCGTGTTAACGAATATAGGTAACGATATTGAAACACAGTGTTATGTCACTTTAGTATTGTTAAAGAGATAGACATTTTTAACTGAAACAAATGATAATAAATATCCAAAGAGTCCACTTTAATATAATATATATTACAGTAGCTGTTTGATCAACATAAGGATTATTTATATTAAGGATATCACCAGGTAGCGAGAAATGTTACCATATGCTTTTATAGCTTCCTGCTGGGAATAAGGAGAGAGACTTCAAAAACAATTCATCTCGAAGCAATATAAGAACGGTGGCAAGGGGGTGAACATTTAGTTCCCATTGGAAAGCCTATATTCTTTTAGAAAACTGTATTACCAAAACTGACATAGATGTAAATTAACAAAGTTGAGAATGATTTGCAACTTTAGTCACAGATCCACATTGTATACTTTTAAATGAAACAATTCGTATGGAAAGCCTTCTTTGAATAACAAAGATGAAAAGTGCAAACAATTCTAATAGGTTTCAAAAGTAACCTTAAGTGGAAACAAATCTAATAGGTTAGAAAAAGTAATTAAACCTAAAGTGTAAATAACTCTAATAAATAAGAGAAGTATTTAAACATAAAATGTAAACAAATCTATTAGATTAAAAAAGTATTTGAACCTAAACTGTACATAAACAAATCCAATAGATAAGAAAAGTGTTTTAACCTTAAGTGCTATTGAAAAAGTATTTAAATCTAAAGTGTAATTAGACAAGTATTTAAACCTAAAGTGTACATTTACAAATCCAATAGATAAGAAAAGTAATTTAATCTAAAGTGTAATTTAAAAAAGTATTTAAACCTAAAGTGTAATTAGAAAAGTATTTAAACATAAAGTGTAAACAAATCTAATAGATAACCTGCTGTTCCCTGTCCAAAATCAAGATGGATTGTGTACTCTGGACCAGCATCAAGATGAAAGTTCTGGAAAGTTACATAAACTTGTGTTCCATCCCCAGCTGTTAAGTCAAATCTTAGCTCTGTAGGTTTCTTTGACACCATTTCCTGCATAAACTTGAGGCCTGAGATTAAAAAACAGGACTGTTTCAAAACATTTATGACAGAGTTTTATGTGCATAGTATTCTTTTTTGTATTAACGTATGTTTTTTGGATTTTTATGTTTCGTGGACTTGTTTGATTCATAAACCCTTGAAAGTTTTTTCTTTTAATTTTTTTGACTCTTTTTTAAAGGAAAGAAAACCCGGGCCCAAAATTATTTAAGTTTATAGTTAAATTTAATTTTAAAAAATTCCATCACTTTTTGGTTTGGTTCTAAAACTTTTTTTTGAAATTGATTTGTTTTTTTTTCCCAAATTTTTAAATGAAAAATAAACCCGGGAAAATTTTTCGGGCGTGTTAATTATTGTATTGGGGCCAGTTATAAATTTTTCCTTTTTTAAATTTAAAAAAATTTTACCAATGAGATATGGTAAGAATTAAAAATTTTAAACATAACAAAACAAAAATTTCAAACCCAGCGGGCACAAAAGAAATAAAGGGCTGAAATGGATTTTTTTTGGTATAACGAATGTGAACGGGTTGGTTATTAATGAAATACAACTTATAGTTTATTGCGATGCTCTTTGGTACGGACAAACTTATACAGGCGAAATATAGAACAGAACTTTGTTGATGTTTCTGTTATACAAACAAAGTTATTAAGTCAGTAAGGGAAAATCAAATTTTATATCATGTTCGCTTGCATCAGGGTCTTTGAAAGACCCTGTTTGCGCAAATATATCTAGCCAGGCAATAAAATCATAGAAAGAAATAGAACATTTGAAATGTTCCAGCCTTGTAAGGTAAACAAGATGGAAATAATCCGGTTATATGTCGGAACGTTAAAAAGAATGACCTGCCTTGCATCGATGACGATTATTTAACTTGTGACAGTTTTCTAAATAATTAACAAATAACGTTTCTTTTCTTTTTTATCTTAAACATGTTTGAAGTTCAGGGATTCAAGAATCGAATTTCAGTTTGTAGCCATAGGTAATTTTAGTTTCATAAAGAGAAAATTTAAATGGAAAGGGGATGTTTTTTTATTTAATTTCATTTTTATGAAATGGTAGAAATATTTTTATTGTTTACAAATTTTACTAAACAGCAATAATTTATTCAGAAAAATCAGAAAACCTAGTTCAAACTGAACTATCAAAAAACAAAGGTTAAAAAAACCCAAGTTTCCCCCCTATGTTATTTATTCTGAAAAATATCTGGAACAAAAACGATTTACTATCTTTCCCCAACAACTTTTTTTTGCTTAAAATTTTTCTTTCGGACGGTTTAAAAAGGGGTTTTAATTTTTAAAAATTTTTTTCCTTTTTTAAGAAAAAATTTCCAACAAAAAAAAACCGGGTTTTTTTTTTAAAATTAAATAATTGTAATTTCCAATTTTTTAAAGTAAAAATTTTTAAAATTAGGAAAAAAGGCAAATATAATTTTTTTTCTTAAAAATTTTGTTTTGTTAAAAGGGTTTAAATTCTTTCCCTTGGAGGGGAAATTGGTTTTGTTTTTAAAAAAGCAAAAAAAAGGTCTGTAAAAATTTAGTGTTAAAAAATAGAAATGAGTTAAATTGCAATGTTTTTTGGCAAAATTTGGCTTTTTTTAACCCATTTTTTTTTACATTCATATCAATATTTCAAAAAGGCTTGGGTATGAAGTAAGTATTAATGATAACTGTATTTTGTTTTTGTATGTATAAATAATTACCCAATTTTGAACATTTTTGACAAGTTTTGTCTTTAATTTTGAAAAAATTTGAATGCGTTGTTGTGAAGTCAGCTTGAAATGATTCAGAGTGATAAATTGCAGGGCTTTTGAAAGTTTGACCATGCATTCGTTGGGTTCTATATAGCGCAGATATTTTCTATAATTAAATATTGTTGAACACACATTAGATGGAGAGCGTAATTGTCATAAATTTTCCTAAATTTTAATTACTTTTTGGGAAAATATTTTTTCATTTTTTAAAAAAAGAAACCGGGGTTTTAAATGAAATTTAGGGTATTTTTTTAGAAATGATAAACGAATAAAAAACCCGGGAATTATTCATTATTGAGTTTAAAAGATAAAAAAAATAAATAAAAAGAAATTTGTAAAACAAAATAAATTTTTGGGTGATTTTTAAACGTTTTTTTAAATCAAAAAATAAATTTTTCCCTACCCAAAAACTTTTTAAATCCAGACTCCCCAAAAACCCTTTTTTCAAAATTCAGTTGAATTTCTGAAAAAGTCGACAGAACCATAAAACGATTCTGAAAACCTGAAAAAAAAATTTTTTTATGAATAATTAACAACGGGCAAGTATTTTTTTTTTTAAAGGGGTTTAAAAAAAAGTTTTTGCCCCAGAATTTAAAATTTTGGGAAATTTTAAAGATCAATCCCTTCAAAATCGCCATTGAAATTTTTGTTTTCTTTTTTCCGGGTTTTATGGGGGGAAAAACGGTGATTTTTTGGGGGGGAAAAAGAAAATACTTCAATAATAAAATTTTTGGGCAGACAGACTAAAAGATAATTGAATGATCCCCCCCTAGGGATTTTCATGTCCGGGGTTTAAAAATTTTCATTTTAAAATTTATTTTTGCTAGGAAAAAAAATTTGTTTTAACTTTAAAACTTGAAAGGGGGTTGGGTTTTGGTATAAATTTACGAATTTAAATTTTTAAAAGGAAATTTAATGGTTTTAAACTGTAATTGTCTTTTTAATGAAATTTGGTTTGGTAGTTTTTAATTTTTTTGGGATTTTAAAAAACCGCCCAAGAAAAAAAATTTGTTGCTTGAAAAAAATTTTTTTTTAAATTTTTTTAAAAATTTTTAGTGAAAAATTTTTTAAATTATTAACTATGCATGTCAATTTGCCACAATAATCAGACGAGTTTTGTTAATGTTCGTACATCTACATTTTGCATATGCATGAAAACGACAAGTTTCTGTGAAATCAAAATACCAGTTAACATTTTACCAAAACCTTCAAAAGTTGTTTCGGAAATAGGATGTGTTATACCTGTTAAATGTGCAAAATTGAAAAATTTAATGATTATAATACACTAACCGTCCATCCTCCACCTTGCGTCTCCATGTCACAGACAACTGTTAATAAGTCATGTGATTTCCATAGTTTTATTTTATGCTGCCCGCTGATCGCATTAGGGAAATGATATTGAACGTCTGCACAATCTGTGGCTGTAACTGTAAAGGAGAAGAAGTATTCATTTTCGTTTTTTTTTTTTCAAATTAAAGATTGACAGAACATTAACATAAGTTTGACTTTGCTGTATGCGGAAAGATATAATATAAACTAAGGATATTTGTACAATTGGTGGCTGAAAAAAAAATACAGATTTTTATAGGGACAAAATGGAATTTAAATTCATAAATTGATTAAAGTCATATTTTTTGATCAAAGTTTATTGAGTATTTGTAAGAATCGATTTTATTTGCAGTTCATAATTAACAAAGTTAGCAACTTAAACAGTCAGCAGCAAATGAACCGTTATATCGTTGATTTTTTCTATGTAATTTGGATTGCAGCAAAAATTTAAGATTGTATTGGAATTTCCGTTATTTTTTTTCTTGTCAGGTTTATGACAAAACGAAAGATAACGACAAAAAGTAGTCATTTAAAACCCTTTTTCGTTGAATGAAAAATGTATGCTTATACAACATGTCTTGACAGAGCTTATTAGTTAATTGTTACAGTGCTGAAGATCCCCCTAACATGCAATCATGTATCTAAATGTAAAAAATTTTCTTGATTTATTAAGAATGTGCCAATTTCAGGTTAACTGTTAATTGAAATAGATTTTTTTATAATATTGTCCTAGTTTTAATAGTTTTAATTATTTATTAACATTTTAGTTAAAGTAATCGTTATTGTATTAAATACATTTCGGACAGAAATATTATTTGTGCATATTTGATATTTGTAGATTATTTTAGATTTAGAATATGTACTGCGTAGGGGTATGTAATTGAAGAAATTAGAACGGCATATTTTAGTCTAAATAGTCACATAAAATTCTGCTCAGTAATATTGAAAGGAAAAATAAAATTTCTCACGCATTTGTATTATTTCTATACAGTTTGAAAACAATGGTAATGAGCATATATATGACAATAACCTCTCTCTTTGCATTTCGGATTGTCTTTTCCGGGTAAGCATATTTGTGTTTCAGAACATGGTCGCTGACCACATGATCCAACCATCTCCTGCAATGAAATGAAAATTGAATATTTGAATTTGTTTCTTCCTAAATGTATTAAATTTGGTCCTTCTGAAATGTATTGAATTTGTTTCTTCCGAAATGTTTTGAATTTGGTCCTTCTGAAATGTATTGAATTTGTTTCTTCTAAAATGTATTGAACTTGTTTCTTCTTAAATGTATTGAACTTGTTTCTTCTGAAATGTATTGAATTTGGTCCTTCTGAAATGTTTTGAATTTTATCCTCCTGAAATGTATTGAATTTGTTTCTTCTAAAATGTATTAAATTTGTTTCTTCTGAAATGTATTGAATTTGTTTTTTTCTGAAAGGAATAGAAGCTGTTCCTTAGAGTGCTTACAATTTTTCTCAACGTTTAGAATTTAGATGTAGATATGTATGATGTATGTTGTTTTATCATACAATATAAATGCATACCATTCGCTGTGTCGATACAATAGTAGTTTGATTATTAGAAAGAAAAGCTTAATTATACAGTGAAAATGCATCTTGTATATATACAAGTGCTAGTGTTATGTAATATAAAGCCAAAAAGATAAAAAGATAACTGAAATGAGATAATTGATTAAAATATCTTGAGTGTTAAAAAAATCAGTTTTGAAGTATCAGTTAAAATCAGAATTAAGGTAAGGATCTGTAAAGACTTTTCAATTTAATGAGTTTATTTTTTTTTCAGAGGAAATGTCAAGTGTTTTAATTGAAATCGAAAGCTAACATGTAGCTTACAATTTACATTAATTTAGTACATTCAAATGATTCAAAAGAAAACTTGAATGAGATTGTTTGAATTATGAA